ACCAAGACTTTTAGGGTTTGGACCAAATCGAGACCAAGACCAAGGGAGGCTCAAGACCGAGACAAGACCAAGACTTTTAGGGTTTGGACCAAATCGAGACCAAGACCAAGGGAGGGTGAGACCGAGACAAGACCAAGACTTTTAGGGTTTGGACCAAATCGAGACCAAGACCAAGGGAGGGTGAGACCGAGACAAGACCAAGACTTTTAGGGTTTGGACCAAATCGAGACCAAGACCAAGGGAGGGTGAGACCGAGACAAGACCAAGACTTTTAGGGTTTGGACCAAGTTGAGACCAAGACCAAGGGAGGGCGAGACCGAGACAAGACCAAGACCAGATAAAAAAAAGTGCCCTAAAAGATGGAGTATTCTGTACACATGTACAGTTTAGGGGAATGTATTGGGTGACAGCTGGTAACAAAAATACATAAAAAGCAATGACTCAGTTTTGGATTTGAATCAGTATGTTTTAAATCCAATGAAAGCAAAAATGTTAACTAATAAATTGAACAATAATCTGTCTGTTTAGTGATATTTCCACAGTTGTGGACTTGACTGGTCTTGAAATAAAATTCAGAGTCCTCAATGTCCGAGACAAGACCGAGTACAAATGCTGTCGAGTCCGAGACGAGACCAAGACCATCAAAAACTGGTCTTGAGACCGGTCTTAAGACCAAGACCGGTTTCGAGTACTATTAGCAGGTGCTTAAAACTAATCTGAAGTAAACTAAGCTTTTCATTATTTTCCTCCACATTTTCTTCCAAAGCTCATTTTAAAATTCACCTCGTACCATCAAAGTCCAAAAGCCTCTGCAAAGTCTTAAATGGTAAAATACTTGTTACCTAATTATATATGGAGTCCAAAATCAGTCACTCAAATCTTGATTAAAGTTCTAATCTTCATCAGATGGAGCTCTTATCGTACAGAAGAAGGCTGCGTGGTTCATGACTCACCTCCTGTAGCGACCGTGACTTCCTTCAGTAGGTGACCATAGAACGGAAAACTGAAGGAAAGTTTCACTCTCTGAAAAGATAAAGTGTAAAAGTTAATGTGTTCTCACAGAATCAGCGATTAGAAATAAAATGCTGATTTTTATCTGTGCCAGAAATAAAACGTGTAGCAGCAAGAATTGCGCAGATGAAAGAAAACTCGAGCATTTTTCTGAAAAGTAAGGTGGATCTAGAACATGTGTAAATATAAAGTATTACACAAAAGGTTTGGGTTTGGGATGTTTTATGAACCTGCCTTTTATACAAAACCTTATTTTATTGTCTGATGACAAAAACTAAACTGTAAATGTTTGATACTTTCTGAGAAAAATTATTTTTGTAGATTTGTCGTCCTCTGCTGGCCATTTAAAATAATGCACGTTTTTAAAATCACAGAGTTTGTATCCTCCATTAATGTGAAAATAACGTGACATACCACATGTTCATAAATCTCTGGTTGTTGCACTGATCACCCACACATCTTACCTCCACATGTCTGTGTGTGTTGGACAGAAAGCCAAGGACTGTCCACCGTCCCCCCTCCGTCTCATCCACCCACAGGTTTTTACCGGCAGCATCTCCAAGACTGTAGATTTTCGACGTGTAATAGACGTGATCAACATCCTGCAACACCACAGAATTTACTGAAGGTTTTCTCTTCAGTGATATGTAATCCTCTTCTCCAGATTATTATAAAAAATTTCATTTTGTGTTTATTTTGTAAACCTGTCTGGATACAAACTTGTTTCTTGGTAAGCAAACTGAAGCACTAATGAATCATTGGGACATTAAAAGACCCTTATGTTAACATAACAGCAAAAACACTTCTTTTTTTTTTTTTAGCATTTTTCCCTCTTTTGTAAAAAAAAAATCTTGTATATAAAGAACACCACCATTTAGTTGAAGTATAGTCCTTTTTAAACTTTTGAGTTTATGCAAGTATATAAAAAATGATAAATCTTACATTGATGTGTGTGGAGTTATCCTGTCTCTCCTCCATACGGACATGAGGATTTGGCCCCTCTGGCTGATGTTGGTCTTTATAGCGGCCCCTCTTGTCTGCAGTCCAAACAGGGTCCCCAGTCCTGGATCGGGCTGCCCACCTCTGCTCTCTGGTCTGGTGATGCTGTGCAGCTAAATGCAACCTTTCCCCTGTGTAAGAAAAAGAAGAAATAATGGCATCTGTTGTCAAATTGAGTCAATCCTACAATAAAAAAGGGACTTTTAAATAAATTGCATCATCATAAAGAAAGCATTTTGTGAACCTCTGGAAAAATTTGTTTTGTGTTTTAGAGTTTCTGATTGCGATTATTTAAGCAGAGACAGCTTCCCCTAACATAACACGGTTAAACTGAAATATAAACATGAGTTAAACCATCTTTCCCAGCATGCAGCAGGGTACAAACAGTTCCTCAAGCAGGTGTGTGGTAAACATCTCCCCTCCCCGATCATTCACAGGTTTGAGTTCCGTCTTTTCTCTTCACAGCAGAGGGTGAAGCATGCTTCACATTCTTCACACCAGCAGCTCCAGGAACAGAAATGTTGAGTCCAGGCCTGCAGTGGGTGTTGAGTCCATATATCTGTCACATGGTGGTCGATGACGGCTGCAGAGGTCCTGCAACATGTGGGTGGGCAGTGATGCTCCTCAGTAACAACAACAGAGCAGATCTGGGGACCTTTTTTTTAACCTACTGTCTGCATTAACAAAAAAGGATTAATCAAACAGCTCAGACGGTGTTCATTGTGTCGAAGCAAAAAATGCATTTTGTTTCCCTGCAACAAGCAGCACACCTGAACCACATTATACCTGTGATTAGTCACCACCTGTTACCTTCAAATAATATTTATAAAAATACTCCCCCTGTTGGTTGGGAGGCATTAACACCACACAACAAAAACAAGTTTCCAAATGTTGAGATTCATTTTCCATAAAGTGATTTATTCCTACCATAATATAATGTAAAAATATTACCCTGCACATTTAACCTAATCATCAGAAATAAATGCTGATTTTTATTAAACTTTATGCTCAATATACAAAGCATATAAGTAAAAACAGAAAAAAACACTAACATTATTACCAAATTTGAGGTATTTTACTTTCAACAGTGAACCTAAACAGAGAAAATGCAGAATGAACGTGTGTATTTTTCATGTATTTGAATTTAATATTATTTTTTAAACTTACCACTGGTTGATTTCATACAACTTATATGAATCTGAACCAAGACCAGAGTTATAATGAGTTGAACCGCTTTGATTATCGCCATCGGCTCCAAAAACACAAGGGGCTAATTAAAAAAAAAAGAAAAGATTATTAAAAAAAAATTAACAGAAAAAGAAAAACGCAACTTACTTTACACAAAAAAGTAACACAATCAAGCAAAGTCAGTACGGGAAACCTTGCATTAAACTAAAATCATTTAGAGCTCTCCGTTTGTCCGCAGATGTTCTGATGTTGCTTTTGGCGTGTGAAGATGTTGCATTCAAGTGCTGTCGTAATTATTATTATCGTTGCATGTATGGTTTCTTTCTTGAAAAAAATATTTTTTTGAAACTTTGCACCAAAAATTGTAAGGAATGTATGGGATGCTTAAAATACACTTTTGTCATTATAATTAAATCAGCACTAAAACATTTACTTAAATATTGGTTAGTGTTATAAAGCACTGAACACCTTTTAAGTAACATTTAAAGTTATTACAGTTTGATACTTCTCAGACCATTTTATTTAAGATTAATACGAGAACAAATATCCGCGCCAAAGTATATAAGATGTCTCTAATAATAATTTGTAACTTGCGTGGACTGGGAAGTTACGTTCAGTACGTGAAAGCAGCACATTTTTCTGTAGTTTTAGTTATCGCCACTAGAGGGAGACAAACCGCGGTTAAAACAAGACGCTACAAAATCCAGCTTTCATTAGGTCACAAATATTTCATCAACTCTGTATCAAAAATTAATTCAGATGTTTACTGCTCCTTGTTGAATATGCATTCATATGCTAGCTATTTATTTCTGATCAGTTTTGAGGTTTTCAATACATTTTTTTTAAATCTTAAACACCAAATAAAATAAAAAGTTAAAATATAGCTACATTAAAAAAACAATATTTGTTCTGGACTGAATCAAAAAGCCCAACTCCAAAATCCTCTTAATTTGTGTTTAAAGCCCAAATAATACTACCACACAACATAAACATTTGTACAGCATCCTGTTTTATTGTTAGACTGGAACAACCACAGGTAGGAAACGCAAGACAATGCAGGTTTAAAACAAGAAAAGAAAAAGAAAACTAAACAAAAACAGGTTTTGTAGTGAAATAACAAGGACACTTCAGGTCTAAAAAGCTGACTTGAACACTTAGTAGCCAGTTTAAGGAACATGTCAAATATCAAAACAAAAATCACCAAATACTAATAATGTTTTGCCTTTTTTGTTCCTGTGTGATTGCTTTAAGGTGTAAACCAAACAGACTAAATCTACTGCGGGGAGAAAGGTGTAGGAAAAATAAACAGCTGTTTTACCGTTAATCAATGCCACACTGTTTTATAAACGCTGGAAGAAAACACTTGTGAACAAATTTGCCAAGACTGTGTTTACAGAAGTGCCACACACTTTCACTGTGTGCCTTTTAGTGCGTCAACATCTAACAGGCAAGAAAAGGAATGCAGTTTATTTAACACCGAGAGCTGCAGTGAATATAAAATTATCTTATTAGAAGAAATCTGACCAGATCCAATTAATGAAGCTTTTGTAAAATCAAAGAAAACGTCTAGATTTTTGCTTATTTCATTTAATTTTGCAGAAACATTTCCTATACTGAGAGGTGAAAACAGCTATGTGAGTCTTAAAAGTGTAGCGAACACTAACTCTACACAACAGCTGCGCTGTTCAGTTGGTGCCAAATGTTGTGCGCAGCCTTTGTGGTAAAAATAACACACGCCTCACTTTCATTAAGATATTAACACTTGCAAAAACACATTTTAAAAATCACAAAACATTTCACGTGTGTAGCTGTGGTCAATCCTGAGTCTTTATGTTTCATATTTACTCATCTGATAATGGAAAGCCTGAACATGAACAGCGCACCAGTTTGGAGAAAAATGGTGAAGCTCTCAGGGCCTGAGGACCCTCCTAAGCACCACAGCTGCAGCCGGTATTAGCACGGTGACGATTGCGTTTCACTTTCCTTATTTTAAACCGAGTTTTAACATTTCTACAAAACGATTCCTTCCCGACGAAGGCTTCCCACAGCATATTTAATCAAACTATTATTTGTGACACATGTGGATGGCGAAAAACAAACACCTCCCTCACCCAAAGGAAAAAAAAAAAAACACTTGGTATTGACTTTCAGTGTAAAAAAACTCAGCATTGCAGGAGCTCCACCTCAAAAATGAGAGTGGCATTTGCAGGGATGATGGGCGGGTATCCACTGGCGCCGTAGGCGTAGTCTGGTGAGCAGGTCAACTTGGCCATTTGACCAAGGCTCATCTGTAAAACAGATTTGAAGTTAATCATCTGATACGTTACATTCCACCGCATTATGTTATTTTTCGATTCAACTTAATCATCTGTATGAACATAACGTGTTTCATACAGCAAGTAAAGAAAACACAATGCATACTTACAAACAGGATCAGCTTCTGTCACATTAAGATTTAGCTCAATATCTTTAAAAACTGTCTGAACAAGATGTCACCTGGGACTTTTCTCTTCTCCTTACCTGAGCTACACCTTCATCCCAGGCACGGATGACTTCACCTTCTCCAAGTTTGAACTTGAAAGGCTTCCCTCGGTCTCTGGAGGAGTCAAACTTCTGCCCGTTCGTCAGCGTACCTGTTTAAAAAAAAAGACATAAAAACATGAAGACCTGCGGCTTTTAGCTGCAGAATCAACTCGACGTTTTGACGCACATTAAAGCTGCTGTCAGGAAATAAATAAATAAATAAATAATAAACGCGCAGGGTGGTTTAGCTTGACTGTCAACGCTTGCCCTTATTATTCACATTTTGTACCTGACGAGATGTTAATTTTAGAGGCGTGTGGGCGAGCCTGTCGCTTTCACCCATTTTGTTTTTTTGGCAGACCACGCTGCTATCCGCCCCCGACTTTTCAGGCTCTATGCTAAGCTATGTTAGCATTAGCGTCATTTTCGACGCGCCCACGGCCAGCATTTAATCTTTTCCAGATACTCCAAATTACGCGTTTCATATCTCCCCTTTAACTCAAGCGACTGATGAGTCTTGTTTGGATTTAAAGGCAAATAATGAAATAAAAACTGTTGAGTTAGCACTGAACGGAGTCGTCTTACCGACATAGTGCACGGCGACCGTCGATCCTTTCTTCGGAAAAGTCCTTCCTGAAAAGCAAAACACAAGATCAACAAATAAACACTGCAAAAAAAAACAATCAATAACTGCAATCAAGCAGAAATTATAAGGAAAATCTTTACCGTCTCCAGGCCTGATAGTCTCGACATGAACTCCCATTGTTCTCTCCGTGCAATCTTCCCACTTCCTGCAGCTCCTCTGCCACTGTCTCTGTGCTGAATGAAGCGCTGAGGTTGCCAGGTAGGGATTAACGAAATGTCACACTGCGCTTTAAAACAGCCGTATTTTCACTTGACCCAGTACATCCACCGGAAGGGTGGGTGGCTGTTAAATGGACACACAAGAAGAAGGGTACTGCTGCACGTATATAAAAACAATTTATTATATTGTATATTTGGCCTCCCCCAAAACATTTATCATATAAAAACTAAGCTAAACAAAAAAGCCTTTATTGAACATTGTATGGAATCTTCGTACAAAACAATAATTCTCATGTATTTGGCAACACGGTTCAAAGTGGATCACGTGGTTCAATGAGTTGCGTTCAATATGATCTCGGAAGTCAAAACTTATTTTTAGAGAACATCCGATTTGGGTGTTCTTAATTGTTATGCGGGCTTATACTACACTCATTATGAGTGAATTTGCGTTTTATGCGCGGAGCTTGATAATAATTTTATACTTTTCAAATTTGAGGGACGTTACACCGGATTATTTTTTACTATTTAAATGTACGGAAAAGCGGAAATTCCCACTTCTGAGAATGAATGAAACGCATCATTTGTTATATCAGGAACGGGCGGAGCCCACAAACTCAAAAAGCTCCAGAGAAATTAGTTTGTTTTTTTTATATGATTTTTTTTATATTTTATTTTTCGGTCAGACCCCCCCCCCCMAAAAAAAAAAAAAATAATGAAACAACAACAACATCGAAATGCGGGAGAAATAAACAACACAATAAATCCAAAGAAGTGTATTCAAAATGTAAAAAGGAAAAAAATATTTATAGGTCCTCTGGACGGGTTCTTCTTTAATGAAACGTTTCGTCTCTCTTCCAAGAGACTTCTTCAGTCTGAGAGTTTCAGGCAAAATTCAGGCTTTTGAGTCCTGCCTCCAGGTGACTGATACTCACATCACATGGCCATCGCTCACAGGTGACCGATACGTGATGTGAGTATAGGTCACCTGTGAACGATAGCCATGTGATGTGAGTATCAGTCACCTGGAGGCAGGACTCAAAAGCCTGAATTTTGCCTGAAACTCTCAGACTGAAGAAGTCTCTTGGAAGAGAGACGAAACGTTTCATTAAAGAAGAACCCGTCCAGAGGACCTATACAATTTTTTTTCCTTTTGATATTTTACCTGGTTTACTGAGATGCATCAGGATATTCAAAATGTAGAAACACGTTTTGATACTAGCATGCAGAGATGTAAAAACACTGTAGCCTAATTGGAACAATAATGAAATTATTTAAATCTAAATTATAAACAGGTCCTTAAAAATCTCAGTAGATTAGGAATACCATATTTAGACACGTTAACACTTTTGAGAGCTGGGATTGCAAACTTCTGTCCAGCAGGGAGCCCTGTTGGTGCAGGAGTTTAGTGGGTTTATTCTCGGACCAGAGGGGGACGACAAAGTAAATTAACTTGACTAAAAAAAAAAAAAAAAACTTTTCATGTTGTTCAAACATTTTTTCACCAAGTTAGTCAAATCTCTCTTTGGTAGCTGCTGCTTGAGTATATATCACAATGGGGGACTGGTTAATATTGGAGCCCAGTGGTGGAGAAAGTACTCAAACACTGTACTTAAGTAAAAGTGCAGATAAACAGACAAGAATGTACTCTAGTAAAAGTAAAAGTACCACATTAACATTTTACTTGAGTAAAAGTAAGTAAGTATTTGCTTTTAAAAATACTTAAAATATTAAAAGTAAAAGTACTTGCTTAATGTATTCCCAAATGGTCTACAATATCATGAAGTGTGCCTACTGTATGTATATTTTTAATACATCAATTAGTGAACAATGCTGCAGATAATGCATAGTTTTGTGTTTACACTCTGTGACACTGTTGACACTTGGACTTGTGATTCTGTGCATCATCACATATTGTGACAACAGCTGCAGAAGATGTCAATTCACCACCAACCTCCTCTATCAAATCTCAACAAGTCATTTTTTTGAACCAGTTAAATAAGGCCATGAATGGCACATTTCCTCCGTGGTGGAAACCATTATGGGCATGCTGCTGTTCTGCTTTTTTATGAAGGAGGGTGCAATGGTACTTTCCTGCTTTGTTCAATGGACCAATTACAGCAATTCCCCCTCTCGCCACTGATAATTTTCTAACAAAAAAATCAAATAAACCACAAATAAAATAAAATAAAATAAAAAATAAATCGACGTGACATGAATGTACTTTGTAATTCAACGCATTACAGAAATGTAGTGGAGTAGAAAGTACAGATACTCAATGTAAAATGTAGTGGAGTAAAAGTCAAAAGTACCCATGATGAAATCTACTTAACTAAAGTACAGATACATGAAAAATGTACTTAAGTACATCAAGAAAGTATTTGTACTTAGTTACATCCCACCACTGTTGGAGCCACAAACCAAACATACACAAAAGTTAATAATTTAAACACATTTTTTTTTCTAAAAAACAATTTTATTCAGTCAGTGAATAGTTTTTCTGCATTAAAACATTTGCAGATAATTAATACAACTGTGATCAAGAGTCAACAAAATACTTTTATAAACTTCTTATTTACCTTCTATTACACTCATCTTTGAAAATATAAATACATATTTCTTCTTTCAATAAAATTACAATATCCTAAAATAAAAACAAGTTCAGGCATCAGACGTTTCCACAGCGGTGTTTTTAGGTGACGATGGATCATAAAGGTTGTTGAAAAAGGAGAAGTCAGATTCATGTTGTATGCCCTGAAAAATAAAAAAAACAAACATTTAAATCATGCAGCATTTGTAAAGCTGTGTTATGGTTTTAACACCTCATCCTTTTTACCATGTCAAATCCAGAGTCCTGCTCAATCGCCTCATTGCTCATGATTGTTGGCTGATTTCTAAAACAACAACAGAGAAACCTTAAATCACTGATTTAACTGCAGCTTCACTGCTATGTTTATTTCATAAATAAGTTCTTCCATACATCGAGTAACACCTTCGGTTCAGCAGAAAGAGCAAGATGGAGACGATGACTCCAACCAGCAAAGTCAGACCAACTGCAAGACCGACAGACAGAGCACCTGCAGAAACAGGAAAACATGCAGACGTTAGCTGAGGCCGACTTTTAAATGGTTTCTAAACGAATCAGAGAAACATCATCTTCTGTAGCAATGTCGTTTGAACGCTGAGTGCAGAATGACTTCAGTGAAATTAGACAAAAATGCTGAAACTGAGCTGGTAAAGCTAAGAACCAGAGTACTTGCTAAAAAATTAGAGGAAAGACACTAGCTAAAAGTAAGAAATTCTATCTCAAAGCTAAATGTAGCAAAAGAACATTGGCCAAAATAGCAAAAGGTTAGCTAAAGACTAAAATAGCAAAAAGCTAATTAAAAGCAAAAAGTAGCAAAACACCAGCTAATACAGAAGGTTAGTTAGAAGTTAAAGGCAGCAAATAGGTAGCTAAAATTATAGTAAGGATGAATAAAAATTAGACTTGCAAAAATGTAGCTAAAAACTCCAGGTTAGCTAAAAATAGCAAAGGTTGGCTAAAAGCTAAAAATACCCAAATATCAAAAAGAAAAAATTGTATAGGTCTTCTGGATGGGTTCTTCTTTAATGAAACGTTTCGTCTCTCCTCTTAGAGAAGAGAGAGAGAGAGTTCTCGGAGAAGAGTGTTAATTAGGTGTCAACGATAGCCATGTGATGTGAGTATCAGTCACACGGAGGCAGGGCTTAAAAGCCTGAATTTTGCCTGAAACTCTCAGACTGAAGAAGTCTCTTGGAGGAGAGACGAAACGTTTCATTAGAGAAGAACCCGTCCAGAAGACCTATACAATTTTTTTTCTTTTTGATTTTTTACCTGGATTACTGAGATACATCAGGACAATACCCAAATATGTTCAAATAAAGTAGCAAAAGGCTAAATAGTAAAACAGCAGCTATAACTTAAAGTACGGAAAAACTAGCTATAAGCTAATATTAACAGCAGCCAAAAGTAGCAAAAGGCTATGCACAAGCTAACAGACTAGTAGCTAAAGAATAAAAGCCCATGAAAACTAATTAGAGCTGCTATGTTGAAGCAGATTTTAAAGAACAAAGTTTTTAAAGGAAGTGATAAAATGTCTGTATTTCTATGGAGAAAATATTTGAATATTTTCAAATATTTTGAAAAGCATAAAAGTCATAGATCCCATCTCCTAAATAAGCTGGACATTTGGACATATTGATAGCTCAAACAGCAAAAATTATGCAGAGGTAGTGAAATAGCACAAAAACATACAAAATAACAAAACATAAAAACAAAAGCTCAAATGTTGAATCAGCACTCTGTCATTGAACGAGCTTTATGAGTTGTTCTAATGAATGTTTCTGGAAGAAACGCTGTCTGCTTGTTGATCGTATTTCAGATAAGCGCTACAGAAGGAGGGTTACTGTTATTGGAAGGATGGATGGGCGGCTCTGTGAAACAGTTTCTGGGGGTGATGATGATGTCATCCAGAGCGACGTCTCCGCCTGTACTCATCCCCTTCTGATACGCAAACACAAACTGTGGAGAAGACACGTATTCAAAGGCTGCACACAGAAACCTGAAAACACTCATGAGTGTGACAGTCCTGCTAATTCTTAAAAACAGGTTGCTTCTTATTTGACTGACACTTCCTCTAACAAAGCATCATTCAATAAATTCCTATATGATTGCATTAGTTCCTACTTCACAATGATAAAATGCATCATAATCCTATGATTACCCAGAATGCCTCCTCATGTTTAATGTTCAAAGTGGCCTGCAGCCACTGGTCTCCTTTGTTTCCAGCTTCAATCCACTGCAGAAATCCTTCCTCATTGCCCGCCTCATGCATTTTTCTATAAAACAGAACATCCGTAAATTTATATGTTTGATCTACATTAAGCTCATGTTTAAGATGTTTCTCAGACCTGTTGTTTATGTAGACTCTCAGGGTCCCCACGTGGTTACCATACATGTGGTACCAGAATGAAAGACAGTGTCCTCTGGAGGACGGCTGGAACACGTCACTGATCAGGAAGGACAAGTCTCCCCAGTCACCCACTGAGCTGTCCACATAAACGTAGTGACCTGATGGAAAACAGCATAAACAGTCAGTGGTGAATGGTGAATGGAGGGTGATGATGTTTTTGCTCGTGTCTGTGTACGACTGCAAATAAATACATTTTGGAGTCTAACAATAGCAAACACAAAAATTCAATGCAGTCAGTTTTGTAAAAATCTGATGCTGAGTTTTGATTTGGTGTAGTCGTAGCTGAGAGTTACCCCAACACATGCATATTACAAAACATTCGAGCTATATTTGGGGTGTCTTACTTCCTACTTTAAAACTAAAATCTTGAATATTTTACACCTGATTATTTACCAAGTCAAGGGGGGTGGTTTTTGTTTATTACCATGCGTGGAATTGGTGGTGTGGTCGACAGTCGGTCCGGTGTTTGGGTTCGGGGAGGCTCCTGCTCCACGGAGCCAGTCTCCCTGGTCGACCACCCCACCCAGGTTGCTCCAGTTGCAGAGCGAGCTCTCAAAATCACAGAATCCCAGAGGAGGACAGTGAGCGTCTGTGAGCTGCACATCATCAAAAGCCATGTGTCCCTCCTGCATGGGGCCAGCCGTCACAGCCTCCACCACAATCTGAAAAGCTCAGCACGTCAGATCAAATGTTTTGTAACAGAGACCCTTTTTTATTCTTTAGCAAGAAAAACACTATAGGAAACTTAGTGTTTAAGTGTAATTTAATTGAATCTCACTCTGTACGGCTGAATCCGAGGCATCAGCGAAGCCTGAGCGAACCTCCACAGCCGACCCTGGTCTCCCATCTGGGAGAAAATCAGAACTTTTTTCCCGTCTTCACTCTGCTGGTAAACATTCAGCGTGCCCGTTCCTTCCCCGTACATGTAGTACCACAGCTGCACACACGACCCTTTACCTGCAGAGGTGAGCACAGATGATTTATCTCAGGGAAAAATCCACAACAAAACACTTCATTGTGCTGCCTTGACTTCTGTAAACTAAATCCTTTCCTGTTTTATTTTCTCATACCTTTTTTTTTTTTACAATCTAATTACTTCCACTAACTTTAAAATTAGCATTATGCAACTTTTAGCTTCCAGCTACAATGTTGCTACTGACTGTTTTTAGGTACCCTTTTGACATGTTCATCTTTTAGCTCCTGTTTTACTACTTTTAACTTTTGGGTTACTGTTGTCCTACTTTTTAGGTTTTACTTGCTTTTTGCTATGTTTAGCTTTTATTCTGCAAATTTTAGCTTTTTGCTAGGCTTTTGCTACTTACAGTGTTTACCCACTTTACTACATTTGGTCCACCCTTTACTACTTTTAGCTACTATATTTGCTAATTTGAATTTGTTGTTATAATTTTGCTACTTTTAGCTAACCTTTTGCTTCTCTTACTAGTGTTTTTCTAGCTACTAGGCTATTTGTAACTTATAGCTTTTAGGTAGCATTTTGGTACATGTACTTTCTAGTTAGTTTTGCTATTTTAGCTGGATTGGATATAATTAATTTTGTTAGCCAGCATTTTCCCTTTTTTAGCTAATATAGTGTTCTGTATTATTTAGTGTAACAACTCAGTTTCAGTTTCTTCAGCAAATTTCAGCAAAGTAGCTTAGCAGTCAGCATAAACATGTCATTTCTCTCGTTAGACATGAAGCTGTTCTTGGTTTCAAACAGATCAAATCAAAGTTAACAGTGACTCATACTTGCAGGGTACAGCGGGGACATCATGGCCGCTGTTTGGCCCTCCTGGTCATTGAGGGAAAGCGACACGTAGTAATAATAACCCATGACCGTGTTGGTGGAGTGGTCTGTCTCTGGGCCTGTGTTGGAGTCACGACCCGACTGCCTGACCCAGTCAAAGTTATCATTTGTTAACTGCTGCCAGTTACAGCTGCCCTCCTCAAAGTCACACAAATCTATAAGACAAAACGATGCAACAGAAATCAGATGTTGCAAATTATGTTTTCTCCCCAATAATTCTCTTTAAGTTTAGAAAAGAGCTAAACATTCTCAAACTTAATTTTTACACTGATAGAACAAAACCAACAAATTCTTGATACAACATGGATTTTTTCTCATAAGATCTTAACATTTAGAGGAGAAAAATATAAATACCAGAAAATGTTTTTGTCAAAAATCTTAGAACTTTCTAGTAAAACTTATTTGTTTTGGTAATTTTTAGTGCCATTTTTCGTTTCAACTTTAGTTTTATTACCAGAGGCAGGACACGGTCCATGGATGAAGCCGAGATCATCAATGGCTATGTCTCCTGCTTCTCCTCCCACCGAAGCCTCCAGAACCACTTGGTGGACTCTTTGCATGTTCACATGGTTCTGAGCCAGCAGCCACTCATCCCCCTGGTTTCCTGATTTTTGCCACACCTGCAGAAAAGACAGGAGGCTGATTCACTTACAATGAGGATGTGAGTTATGGGCGGAAACTGTGCAGCTTGCAAACATTATGCTCCAGTGTTATTGAGTAATAACCATTTCACAACTGTGAAATTATAACAGGGAGAAAATTAAGAGGAAACAGCCACAAATATTTTGCAATCAGCTGCGTAGTGTTTTTTTTTTTTGTTCACACCAGCATTGTTAACAACATATCTTCTTATAAAGCAGATTTTTTTGCTTCGTTTAGTTCATTTACAAAGTTAAATTTGTAAAAGCTAAAATAGGCCAAAGCTAAAAGCTAAAATAGAGAAGCAGTGGTGCAGAGGTTAGATATGATGATTGGGAAAGTCTCAGGTTTGAATCCCCGGCACAAAAATTTGGGTGGAAAAAGTGAAGCGCCCTCATTTTCCTCACTGTAGGCCCTTAACCCTCCAGCTGCTCCTTGATGTGTCTCTGCGCCTTTCGACAAAAGCCCTCAGCACCACACGTGTGCTCACATTAACTTTCACTTTATTACAAGTTAAAATATATTTTACCAGTGTTTCTTCCTGCGTGTCAGCTGTTTTCAGAAGCATCTTCAAGGAGCCCACAGTAGATCCAAACATGTGGTACCAAAATGTGAAGCAGTAACCATTTTCACCAGCAGGTGGCAGCAGTGAGGACTTCAGTTGGGCTGTGTTTTGCTTCATTGATGGATGGGAACTCTCGATGTAAAGATACTTCCCTGAAAAAACAATAATAAAGCAAATATTTGTTGGTCCTTTAATGGGAACTTCCAGATCTTTTGTCAGATTGTTTTACTTTTGAAAAGATTTAGGCCTTAAGATGAGAACATGTCTGGAGAAGAAATTGATGGATATATATATATA